AAAAAAAAAAAACTGCTCAGTGACATAAAAAGAGAAATAAAGAGAAATAAAGCCCAACTAATCAAATTTTTCAAAGGACTATCACTGACAAATCATTTCTTTGGTGATAAAATGATAGGTCCAAGGGAACATGAAAGAGAACTGGCACGTATCAGATAGATCTTCAAGGATGCTGAGACTTTACAAACATGAGCCTAAAATGGGTTCAAGAAAGCTTTGGTATTTATTTGAAAGAGAATCTGAAAAGAAGTTAAGGAGAAGAGGAGGCAATCCTCAAAAGTTTTACATGAGATATTAAGAATCATAAAGACAGAGGCTCCTGGGTGGCTCAGTCCGTCAAGCAACCAACTTCAGCTCAGGTCATGATCTCACCGCTCCTGGGGTCGAGCCCCACATCGGGCTCTGTGCTGACAGCTCAGAGCCTGGAGCCTGCTTCAACTTCTGTCTCCCTTTCTCTGCCCCTCCCCCGCTCATGGTCGCTCATGCTCGCTCACGTGCTCCCTCTCTCTCTCTCCTTCAAAAATAAACATTAAAAAAATTTTTTTAATCACAAATACAATGTTGCAAGAAGGGTATCACAAAGAATACAAACTGAACAGACAAAACAGCAACTTCAGAGTGAGAAAAGAGTTTACTAACAAGAAACATACATTCCCGTTTTTTCCTGTTTTAGCAAGATGTAATTGACATATTACACTGCAGTCCTTTAAGCTGTACAACACGGCTTAATATATTGTGTATACTGCAAAATGATTACAATAAGCTTAGTTAACATCCATCCACCTCACACAGTGACAATTTCTTGTAATGAAAACTTTTAAGATCTACTGTCTTACCAACAACGTTCCCCACTCTATTCTCTGCTGAAGTACTCTCCCCTGCTACTCCCCACCTAAACACCGAAGTTACTACCATCCTCCTCTCATTAACTGCCACTGTTTTTATGAAATTTAAACCACTGTGTTATGTTCAAAAGCACATCAGGGACATAACAACAAGGAGGGAGAGCTAGCAACACTTTCGCTTCAACCCCACAATGTTCCTATGACTCAAAGAAATATTGAAATACAAACATTAACACTCCAGAACCAACAATATCCAGTCATAAATAAGGTCCTATGTAACCATGAGCTCGAATCCTTACTAAACTTGCCCAGAGGGGCACCTGGATGGCCTAGTCAGTGAGTGTCCGACTGTTGATTTCGGCTCAGGCCATGATCCCAGGGTCATGGGATTGAGCCCAGTATTGGGCTCCATGCTGAGCGTGGAGCCTAAGATGATCCCCCCGCCCTCCCTCCCTCCGTCCCTTCCCCCCAGCTTATGCTCTCTCTCTAAAATAAATTAAAAAAAAAAAAAAAAACTTGCCCAGGATACTAGGTCTGAACACTCTGTTATACCACGCTAGTCAACAGATGTTTGAAAAGGGTTATTCAAGTGGTCGGAGGTGGTCAAGGATAAGGAAGAAAAATGACAAATATTAACACACAACAGAAGTCAGCACAAAAAATGCATTGCCCTAAATCATGGTGATAACGTGAAGGTAATATAGATGGGTGGAAAAGATGGACGAACAACCACAAAATCATATTCCACACCATCCAGCGGCAAAGTCCCCCTGAAGAGCAAAGGAACAGTCAACCAAAGGCAGTGTTTCTGAACCAGCATCCGTAAATAAATAAATAAATAAATAAATAAATAAATAAATAAACTTTAGTTTGGTTTTCATGTTTTCAAATGTAGGGCATTTAGAGTGAATGTAATTGGCATTTAAGAAAATTGATACACAGCAGAAGTGGTAAAGCCTACAGAATCATAAGTACACAGTTGAAATGGTACATTTATATACAGCTGTTTCCTTCCCTAAACCACACTCTACTTCACCACTCCTCTTGGATTCTCATATTTCACCTGTCTCTGTCTCTGTCTCTCCCACTCTTATGTCATAGTTTTTACTTCCGTATTTTACCCCTCAAGTGAGCTATACTCTCCAGGATAACATCATGTCTGATTCATCTTCGCAAAACTCAGGGCATTCCCTCATTTGTTTAACATATATTTATATATTTACTAAGTATGTATTAAGGACCAGGTATCATACTACAAACTAGCATTAAATGCACAGTTTAAATGAATGTTGACTACAAGGCAGAAAAAAGAAGCTCAAAAAAGAACCCAAATAAATTCATGCATTATAATTCTACAGATTAAGATGGGCCACTACCAACACTCTAGTTGGAGTTTTAGTATCATGAAACATCTACACTATCTATACTGTCACAGCAAGAATGTGGGTCCACTAGACCCGCATTCCCTTTGTATGGCCTGCCAGGTTTATTAAGTATTTCCATACAGAGAATTATCATCTTAATTAAAAAATCTTAATTAAAAAGAAAAAAATCAACCAAAAAACTTAGTAATAATGATTCAATATACCATGATATGAAATTAGAGGCCCCAAAATAACACCCATGAGAAGGGTCTTTATCAGTCCATGAGTGGGAGACTGTTTTAAAATTCAATCTATGGGGCGCCTGGGTGGCTCAGTCGGTTGAGTGTCCGACTTCAGCTCAAGTCATGATCTCACAGTCTGTGAGTTCGAGCCCCGCGTCGGGCTCTGTGCTGACAGCTCAGAACCCGGGGCCTGTTTCAAATTCTGTGTCTCCCTCTCTTTCTGACCCTCCCCCGTTCATGCTCTGTCTCTGTCTCAAAAATAAATAAACGTTAAAAAAAAATTAAAAAAAAAATTCAATCTATGCATACCTTCAAGCCCTTAGGAACTACCAGGTACTACTGACCCTGGGTTTTAAAAAGATCAACAGGACATTCCAGGAGCCCTCCTAGAACTCAACCAAAAGTTTAGCATAGGTAGAGGGATAGAGGAGAGGGGGAAGGGGGGGGGGCATTTTATGAAAAATACCTGAGTTTAAATTCAAAGGTCAACAAAGTAAAAACGTGTTAAATACATTTTATTCAGGTTGTTTTAATCACTCCCTGTATCATGCTTAATGGTGTTTGAAAGGATTCCCCTATCCTTAATCTAGATCACATTTTTAAAACAGGGGCCCCACCAATCCCACTCCCACCATACATATTCTGGGAGAATGGCAGATAACTCGAAATTTGTTTGGTTTTGTTTTGAAGGACTAGACCGGGATAGGAAGGCAGAAAAAAATTGAAAACGGATGTGTGCCTTCAAACCCACGGCCCTTCCACCAGCTCATTACAGGCTCTTGTATCTGAAGCTGTGGCCATTCACAGGTGGTTGGAGGTGTCCGAAGTGTGAGAACACAATCTGCAACTCGTGACAGTAGTCCCCGGACTTCAGGGCCTTCCACCCAGAAATCCAGGAAACAAGAAGCCTTCCCTAGTGAGCGCGGCTGAAGGCAATCCATAAATAAACGTTTTATGAATAAATGAAACACCTGGCTTTCTCTACCAAGCCCCCAAACAGCGTGCCTTTAGGGCCCGGGGACCCTAATGGAAAGCTCTGGCCCTAAAGAAAAGACAGCGAGGCGGGGTTCCTCCCTCTAGCCCAACCCCAGAGAAAAAGGGGGGGACTGTGGGGGTCCTTGGGAGGGGTTGGGGGAGGCAAGGAGGAAAGGGGAGGGGTCGGCAGGGTGGAACCCACCTAACCCTTCTCCCTTCCAAAGCGGAGGTCGAGCCGCTGCCCGCTGCCCCCTGTCCCCTGACCCTGCCTCCTGCCTCCCTCACCTGATCACAGAGATGAGCAGCCCCGAGGGGTCTTTGCTTTTGCTGACAGTGCTTCTGTATTTCCCACCAGCTGCTTCTGCCGCCATCTTGGTACCGGGCGGGGAGGGGGAGAGCTGGTAAGCTAGAAGGGCCAACACTAACGTAGGCTCTGTAATTGACCTCTCTGGGGAGTCCACCAATGGAAAAAGAGAATTTCAGAGACGCGCAACGGGACAGTCCAATCACTGGAATGAGGAGGCGGGACTGAGGCAGCAAGTTTCCAGGCCGCGCACGCGTTCCAAGCATTCTGGGAATTGTAGTTTTCTTCCGCGGTTCCTGGGAACACAGGGAAACTAAACCAGTGGTAACTTGGTCAAGTCTCCTAAGGACTGTCTGATTTGTATCTGTTCTGATCTGGTGGGATTCTTTTTTTTTTTTTTTTTCAGTGTCCTTGTTTTTAGAATTTTATCAGCTTTTTAATCAAATGTATCTAACGATGCCAAAATGTGTACGTAGGGGCGTGTATTTTACTGGGGCGGGGTTGTGGAAAGGGATGTCTCTGAGCAAAATTGTAATTTAAACACAACTGGTTTAAAAAATAAATAAAGTCCGAAAATAAGACACGGAGATGCTGTTCTTTAGAGAATAAATACTTATTCTCTAAAACTAAATTTTCTACATTCGTTTTATATGTGAGTTCAATAATCTTCCAACATCCCTGTATTTGCAGATAATGCTTTAAAAACATAGCTGCAAGAGCTCACAAATTGGATACTGACAAAAAGACCAAAAAACAAAACTGACCAAATTGCAGATTTTTTCTTCCCAAGCTAAATAAAATATAGATAGTAATAATGTATATTTGAACTTTATTATTTTTGCCGGTAAGTTTTTATACTTTTTTTTTTTTTTTTTGTGGGGAGAGCACAAGCTGGGAGAAGGGGACAGAGGATCTGAAGCCAGGTCTGTACTGACAGGTGGATAACAGTGAGCTGATACGGGGCTTGAACTCACGAACCCTGAGATCATGACCTGAGCCGAAATCCAGTGCTCAACAAACTGAGCCACCCAGGTGCCCTGGTTGTTATATTTCTTGCATTTGACTCCACTGGCTTAGTCATTAATTCAGCAGATGAAATAAGCAAAAAACAAAGATTAGCATATGTATGAGAAGTATAAATCAAGGAACAAGAAGAAAAATAAACATGAAGCAGGAGGGAAGGAGGTGATCTGCTTAGTAGCAGTAAAGATTTAAAGAACTTCAGAACTGAAAAGAAAGCAAATTCAGAGGTTCTGGAGTTGTAGAGCAGAACACATCAACTATTTTTACTGAAACGATATAGAAGTACTAAGTAAGTTGTAGAACATCCATATGAGGATATAACGTACAACCTCAGGGGAAATATATATATATGGCCTCAGGAAATCATAATTTTAATGGTTTTTAATGAAAATGAGATTTTCATGGTATGAGTACAAAAGCAGGCTACAAACTTAGGTAACTTATATACATAGAGAAAAGTAATTGACCCTACTGGCCAAGAATGCAGGCCAGGAGAAAACCATGATCATCCCAGTTGCTGCAGAAAAAGTTTTTGACAAAATCCAACACCCTTTTCACAATGAAACACTCAGCAAACTAGAAATAGAAGGGAACTTCTTCAGCATGATAAAGACTATTTATTTAAAAAACACAGCTAACATCATACACAATGGTGAAAAACTGAAAGCTTTCCAGCTGTGATCAAGCACAAGACAAGGATGCCCACTTTTGCCACTTCTATTCAACAAACTACTGGAAATCCTAGCCAGAGCAATTAGGCAAGAAAAAGAATAAAATTGGAAAGGAAGAAGTGAAACTATTTCTATTTGCAGATACTATGATTTTACACATGGAAATCCTAAAGAATTTTTTTTAAAAAATGATTACACCTAGTAAATTACTTCAGCAAGGTTGCAGGATGCAATATTAAGACAAATCAGCAGTGTTTTTATACACTAGCAATGAACAATCCAAAAGAAAATTGCCAAAACAATTCCAGTAACAGCACTGAAAAGAATAAAATACTTAAAAATGAATTTAACCAAGAAAGTGAAAGACTTCTACACTGAAAGCTACAAAATATTGCTGAAGTAAAGAAGAATCAAATAATGGAAAGACATCCTGTGTCCATTAATTAAAACAAAATACGGGTAAGATGCCAATATTCCCTAAAGCTATCTACAAACTCAATGCAATTCTTATGAAAATTCCAATGGCCTTTTTTGCCAAATTGGAAACACTGATCCTAAAATTCATACAGAATTGCAAGGAGCCCCAAATGGCCAAAACAATCTTTAACAATAACAAATTTTGGGGGCGCCTGGGTGGCTCAGTCAGTTGAGTGTCCAGCTTCAGCTCTGGTCATGATCTCACAGTCTGCGGGTTCGAGCCCCACGTCAGGCTCTGTGCTGACAGCTCAGAACCTGGAGTCCTCTTTGGATTCTGTGTCTCCCTCTCTCTTTCTCTCTCTCTCTCTCTCTCTCTCTCTCTGCCTCTTTCCAGCTCGCACTCTATCTCTCAAAATTAAACAAATGTAAAAAAAAATTTTTTTAATAACAAATTTGGAGAACTGAGACTTCCTGATTTCAAAAGTTGCTAACAAGCTATACTATTCAAAAGTGTGGCATTGGATAAAGACAGACAAATAGATAACTGGAATTTTATGGAGAGTCCAGAAATGAATCCATATATCTATGATCAATTGATTTTGTACAAGGGTGCCAATGTTATTTGATGAAAAAAGAAAAGTCTCTTCAAAAATAATGCTGGGAAATCTGGACATACACATGCAAAACAATGAAGTTGGATCCTGTCTTAGTCTACTGAAGCTGCTATAACAAAATGCCACAGACTGGGTAGCTTATAAACAACTGAAATTTATTTCTTGCACTTCTGGAGGCTTGGAATCCAAGACCAGGGTGCCAGCATAGTCATGTTCCAGTGAAGGCCCTCGTCCTTGTTCATGGCCAGCAACTTTTTACTGTGACCTCAGTGGTAGAAGGGACTAGGGACTTTCATGAAGTCTCCTTTATAAAGAATACTGATATCTAATCACTTCCGAAAGGCCCCACCCCCCTAATACTATCATGTTTCAAGGTTAGGATTCAACATAGGAATTTGCAGGTCAGGATGAATACATTCAGACCTCACAGCATATTACAAAATTTAAATCATAATGGATTGAAGACCTAAACATAAGAGATAAAATTCTTAGAAGAAAAAATACGGTAAATTGTTATGACCTTAGATTTGGCAATGGGTTCTTATATATCACACCTAAATCATGAGCAACAAAAGGAAAAATAGATGACTTGGATTTCATCAAAATTAGAAACTTTTGTGCATCAAAGGACACAATCAAGAAAGTAAAAAGACAACCCACAGCGTTTGAGAAAATATATGCAAATCATATATCTGATGGGGTCTTATATCCAGCATATGGAAAGAATTCTTACAACTCAACAGCAAAAGACAGAAACTCAAATTAAAAACTGGGCAATAAATTTGAATAGACATTTCTCCCAGGGAAATATACAAATGGCCAAGAAACACATGAAAAGATGCTTTAAAACATTAGTCATCAGGGAAATGCAAATCAAAACCACAGTGAGATACCACTTCACACCCATCAGATGGCTACAATTTTAAATAATAGAAAATAAATGTTGGCAAGAATGTGGAGAAATTGGAACCCTTGTACATGGGTAGTGGGAATGTAAAATGGTGCAGCCAATGTGGAAAACAGTTCAGAGATTCCTCGAAAAATTAAAATTACTACATGACCCACCAATTTTACCCATAGGTATATATCTAAGAGAATTGAAAACAAGTACTCAAAAAAATTCTTACACAAATGTTCATAGCAACGCTGTTCACAATAGCCAAAAGGTGGAAACAACACAAGTGTCTATCATTGGATGAATGGATGAATGTGGTATAATATGTGGTATGTGATTGAGGTATAAATGACATGTGACATACCCATACAAAGGAATATCCTTCGGCCGTAAAAGGGATTGAAATACCAATACATGCTACAACATCGAAGAACCTTGAAAACATTATATTAACTGAAAGAAGCTAGATACAAGAGGCTACACAATCTATGATTCCATTTATATGAAAAGTATCCAAAATAGGCAAATTCACACAGACAGCAGATGTCAGGGCCAAGGGCAGGACACCCGAAGATGGGCCACTTTAGCATAAAGATTGTTTTGAGTTAAAAAGGAATCAAAACTCTGCAGATTCAGGAAAGTCTCTTTACCTCCCTCTCAACTGCCTAAAAAGAACTTAGATAGAGGATCTGCTCTGGGTCCATAGATAACTACATTGCAATATGAACCAGGTACAGCAGACATTGAGGAACCTAGCAATGCCTGTTTGACCCAAGTCCTCTATGTCTCGTTTCTGAGTGCCGCAGCAAATGTTTGTTTATCAAACATACACTCTTGTGTATCTTCCTATAAATTGTATTCCTTCCCTTTGAAGTCCCAGACCCCTGCACTCTTCTTCTCCATTCAGGCTGACACATATACCTCATTCTGTCTGACTGCCTTTGGAATCTCATGTCTGTGTGGATTCCCTGTATATAGGAAACTAAATTTTATTTTCTCCTGTTGATCTGTTTCATGGCAATTTGATTCTTAGTCCAGCTGGAAGGACCTTGAAGACCAGAAGAAATTCTTCTTCCCCAACACAGATTAGTGATTCTCTGGGGTTGAGGGAGATGGGAATGGAGAATGACTGCTTTAGAGACACAGGGTTTCCTTTGGGGAAGATGGGAATGTTCTGGAACTCGGTGGTGATGGTTCCAAAATTCTGTGAATATATTAAAAGCCACTAAATAATATACTTTACAATGGTTAAAATAGTAAATATTATGTGTGTTTGGCCACAATGAAAACATTAAAAATTCAGGCTGTGCTGTAGGGCTACCTAGATTCAATCCTAGCTCTCCACCTACTGACTGGGTTACCTTAGGCAAGTTACTTAACCTTTCTGTACCTGTTTCCTTACCTGTAAAGCAGTTGATAATAGGGAAGTCTCCTAGAGAGAGTAATT